CGTAATATCATACCTACCTATAATGTTATAGTTATAATAATATATTGTTTTACTTTTCAGCTAAGTATCTTTAAAATTAGCACAAGTAAACTTTTCAAATATTAAAAAATTAGGCAATACCAGTTAATACTTGAGCCTACCAGCTACACCAACGTATCCTACTTATAATTGTGTAGTTGTATATTTTTAATATTATTATGTAAGTACCTATATTGTAGTACATATGGATGAAATAATGAGCTAATGATAACGAAAATGTATAACTAATTAATTAAATAAAATATACTTAATATTTGTAATATTTGTAGCTTAATTTTGCTTAATAATAGGTACCTACCTACACCATTCAATTAAGCTCTGATAACATAATAGTAATTTGTGTGATAATTATAATTTAGTTTTAATAGAAAACAATATTTCAATGATGATAATTATTTCATCTATATATAATAGGTACAATTTTTTTTTTATTTTTAAGTAGGTAGCGTGTCACAAAATTACAGTAATTCCAACGTGAGAAACGTGACACCTCCTAAGTAGTTTGTCGACGGTCTACCACAACAAAAACAAATAGAGCGTAGATGACTGCGGTGTTTCCGTAAGGCTAATATTCTTCTAACACCGCACTGCTGTATACAGTGACGGTATTAGAGTTTGCGAGGCTCTGGGCAATATAAATGTTGGGTCTTATAATTTATATTAATAAAATATTTTAAGTTCAGTTAAATCAGAACCGCGGGGTCTTAATTATAATTTAAGGCGTGGGGCCCTGGGCAACTGCCCCTATTGCCCACCCCCTCGCGATGTCCCTGGCTGTATGCTTCACACTGTTTAATCTGTACCCCGTCAACGACATAGGCAATACAGGCAATCTATTCCTTATAATTTCTCGTTTCATAAGCCATAAAAAATACTAAAATATAAACATTCATTGAGAAATTGGATGGTCTGTGACATTTTATTTTTTTGATATTGTTCGCCGATTATTTTAGTTCTTGGTACATAGGAACCCAATCTCCTTTTATCCTAATTATTATACAGTGTACACGGTGCAAACATAATATGGTAATGCGAACATTGTAGATTAATTGAGTATGGGCTTATAAACCCGTAGTCAAATTAAAAGTCCATTCATAAACTCAGTGGCGTAGTTACGGGGAGGGTGTAAGGGGTTTCCACCCCCCCCCCCCACAGATTTTTTTTTTTAATGATATTTGATTATTATTTATTAATATTTATATATTATAGTAAAATATTTTGATTTTACTATGATTAGGTATATATTAAAAATTGAATAACAAAATAATTTTCATTAATACGGGACATAATAACACTATTTTAAATGTAATATTATTATATATGATCTCGTTTTAAGATATACTACGAACACTTAAAAACTTACTCTTAAACACCCCCCCCCCCCCCCCCCAGAAAAGAATTGTATCTACGCTACTGCATAAACTTAAATATAACCAAATAATTTGCGAGACGTTTAATAATTTCACTCTAAAAACTACTGCAACGTTATGATTTTTTTTCAGTTGCGAAGTTCAACGTATTACAATTTCAAAATGAATACAGCCCTAAAAGTACAATTCTAAATTTAAAGTAATTTCAAGATTTCGCTTGTAAGATCAAAGATTTTTACTAGATGTATCTAATATTTGTGTAGGTATACTATACGAGTATGCCATATACCTAATCTTATGTGCCATGTATCTAACCTATCTTGATAACAAAGATTGAAAAATAGGTACCTATACAGTTTTATACAACTAAACTTCCTAAAATAAATTATAAGTTCATCATTTTTACCATCATGTCAAATAAAATAATTAAAATTTAGAATATTTTTTTAATAATTAGATTTAAAATACATCGGATAATTTATGACTGTAAATAATATTTTATAATGAAAAATGGTTAATTATGTATATAAAACGTTTAACTAATTTCTTGGTAAAATTAATTCGTTTAGCAAAGGTTGAATTTCGGAAAATAAGAAAAAGAAAAATCAAGGAATGACGTGTTCTGAGTATGACGATTATATTATGTATGTTTTTATGTTTTTAACATACAAATAATTACTGGAATATCTAACAATCACGATGACGTGATTTAACAATTAGTTCTTTAATAAGGACCTACCTACTTCCTAACAAGTTGTAAATAATGTTCCGCTTTAACTGTTCCGCCCCCGTACACAGGGGAATGAGTACGGTATTTCTATAAACGTAGATACTGTCTTGACATACGCAACGCGGAGATAAGGACTAAAAGGACGCATTCACTTCGTGCGTGATTTTCATAGGTGTACTTAATGATCTTATAGTAGATGGATAAATGCGATTTATGGAGGGGGAGCTGGCGAAAGTTTATTTGTCCGATTTGCTATTCACGGTTGTTTGATTGTTATTTAATAGAAAAGCGAATAGAGAAATATTAATAGTGTTTTAATATGTTTAGAGCAATGGATTAGGAGCCTATAATACAGTAAATAGCTATACGTATTATTTTTTTCACAGATAATTTATGAAAAAGCGGTAGACATGCGATTAAAAACAATGGTTATTAGAATTTTACATTTATTACAGAATAAAAAATAAAATGTATATTAATAATTAATAGGTATATACTCGTATAATTATTATACTTGTGTGTAGTAATCGCGATTCATTGTAACTTGTAGAATACATATATTTATTGGACCTATTATTGCTACAATTGAATTTCAATAATTTAGAAGTTAAATAATGTTAGTACTAAACATTTTATTAATTTAAATGACTAGCGTAAATTATTGTTTTTCGATTTTAATTAAATTTAAGTCATCAACTAAAATTTAAAATAAATAAATAGCAATTTAATGGAATTTAATACTTATAATAATAGTAGGTACATATATTTTGAAATTATTCAATGTTTCAAAGCAGCAATTATATTATGATTAGGCGAGCATTACCAATAGGTATCTATAATTTATATAATTAATAAAATGTAGTTTGAGAAATAAAAATTAATTAAATTAAGAACTTGTAATCTCATTAATAATATTAGATGTAGAGAACTTTTAGGTTATACCATAGTTTAACTAAATGAACCATAATCTAATTAAATGTAAAACTATGAATAATAATAGTAGCATAATCATTCGACATTAAATCAGGTTTTGTATTTTTTTTATTAATGATTCGTAAAAAAATACTAATAAAATATCATAGTTAGTAAATTAAATGATTACTTTTATATATTATATTCATTAAATAGGAAAAAATAAGCTAATTTTGAGTACAAGTTCTTTGGAATTAATTTGGCGAAAAAAAATTTATTATATAAACATTGGACATTTGTAATTAAGTTATTTTAACACACTTTGTATTCATAATACAATAAAAATTGATATTGATTAGTGACAAGAGACCATTTATAAATATCTTAATAAGTACAATCAAACTTCTTGAGTGAATATCAATTTTAACTTTATCTTTTTTAACCCGTTATCGCTATAATGAATATTTTCCCAATGTAAAATTTATAGGACATCATATTTAAATTTCATGTCTGAGTTAAAAGTCTGAAAGTCTGTGTTTGAATAAGAAGTGTTAAAAATGTCATATTAGTAAAAACCAATTAATAATTATTTTAACACACTGTTATGAAATCGTTTTTTTTAAACTATTATAATTTATATTTTATATGTCTTTTCAGGTGCGGATACAAAGGGGGGGGCCTGGGAGTGATGCCCCCCCAAATGTCACGAAACAAAACGAAAAAAAAATTATAATATTATATGTCAAGCAATGATAAAAAATATATTTTTCTATAGCAACTATGTATTGACATGTTTTCAAGAACTAAAAGAAAATTAAATTTCGCTCTATAATTTTTAATTTAATTTCATATTTAATAATTTTTTATATTGTTCTAAAATAAAAAGTTTTCTTTTCAATTCACCTACATATTTTTTTTTAAAACTTTTAGTTGAAAGTTTATTCCTTTAGTGTTGAGAAATATTTATGGTAAATGGTAATATTTATAATATTATAGAATTATTGAATTTTATATATTATATTATGTCCTCTCCAACTGTTTAAATGGCCCCTCCCTATTAATTACTCTGAATCCATGCCAATATCTTTTAAATAGTTTACCTAGTTATTTAAAAAGGGATGTTTTTGCTTATAAAATATTTTATTTTTCTATGGATTATTGTAACCTTTGATAATTTTAATGGAAACGTTAGTTTTATGTTGAATTTTGTTTATGGGCAGCTATCAATATGTACATAGAATAGATTTTGATAATGATGATTATAATATAGGATCAATTCAATAAATTGAATGTATTTGTTATTACATTATGTAACCGATATATAGATATAAATGATTTATTAACAATGCTTGAGTTCTCTATACTATATAAATAAATATTTTCAGATTGTTCAGATTGAATACATTTCTACAATGCATACTCAGAGTTTGAATCCAAATATAATCAATTTATATTGCAAAATGTAAGCTAAAAAGTATGCATACACAACAAATTCATAAGTAAACATATTTATTTGATGTTCATTATAGCTCTAATATTTAGGTAAGAAACAGGTTTTAAATATAGCCCAAACAGTTTTGGGCCAAACTATACCACATTTGTAATGGAATAACAGTCTGAACAATAAAAAAATATTTGAGTAATAATATTTAAACACGGCATTTTGATAAAATGACTTTTAACATTTATCATACCAAGCATATGACCTTTAATTAAGTATAGTATGTCACACCATTTTATTTCATTGGTAATTTAACAACCCTATTATAAAACTTAATTTTTAAATATAATTAGAATACTACCATTTTTAATGTCAAATAACAAATAAACAATTTAATTAAGTATACAAAAAAATTAAAGTGTTCATAAAAATCATTGATTTTATGGTTACCATAAAATGAATCACACAAATCAATTATTTTTTGGGTTTTAATTAAAATTTAAAATGTATACAACCATAAAAATATGTTTGAAAAATATTTAGATTTAAATAAATAGTGTAAGTGTTAGAGATTTTTAACATTATCAATATCTACTGGTTCTAAATTTTGTAAACTAAATGAATGTTCATTCAATAATGTGACCAATGAATCTGCAGGCAAATTTAGATGAGAGTCAAACTTTTCTCCAACACTCCAAATTGTTTCCAAATCATAACTTTTCCGAGTTTCTTTCGTTAACAAATGTAGAGCTATGTTACCTGAAAAAAAAAATGTAATTCAATATATTAATATTTTTATACACATAAAAATATTGATAAAGTATAAAATATAAAACACGATGGCTTCTATTAAAAAGAGTTTATTATGAGATAGTTGAGTTCAAAATTTTGACATAGTCATTGTCGTCGAGTATAGATATTATCTCAGATAGTATTTGGCTAAATAATTATATGATGGTATATATAAGCATACCAACATTACCATGTTATGTTATTTATTTATAAATTATATATTTATTTATGTTTTTACAGTTATTTTAAGAAATGCACTATATTTTATTTTTATCATAATGATCCATTGAATACGTTTTTTTAAGCCGCAGCTGCGTCTGTTAATTTCTTCATTTATTTTTTCCTCTTAACAATAGAAGAATATGTTACCTGCATCATAAACAATGTAGCCGATCATAAATGTAAAATATATCTAAAGCAATGATCTACAAATAACCGAAGATATTATTATACATAGAAATTAAAATTATAATACATAAATACATAACATACTAGTGTACATTATAAAATATGTCAAAATTATTTAATTTTTCTTCCATTTTTATAACTCAGATTAAAAGTTTCTAAATTTAGTTATTGCATAATAAACAGATCGTATTAACAAACATCATAAATAAAATAATTTTATATTATAAGCTTAATAAATTTGATAAAAAAAAAAACCTAAATATCATGCACGTTATGAGTTATATTATTTTTAATTTTTAAAGATTATTTACTCAAATAAGCATACTTCTAAATCGGCTCGTACATTTTATTTTATTTTTGGATAAAACAAACTGTAATAATTATTTAATAATAGAAAACTCACCGATATCTAAAGCAATCCAGTCTAAAGGCTTTTTGTTTAATATTCGAGGTATGCTATCCGTAGGCTTACGTTTTTTCTTAAATAGTTTATGTACAAATTCAACAATCGACATTAAATGTTTTTGTGATTTGCCAGATGCAATAACAATATAATCAACATATCTTATATTGGCTGGGATGCTCACAACGAAAATATTTGAAGCATTGTTCTTTTGAAGTACTTCGACTAGATCTTCAACTTCGTATACGCCTGACACACCACCTAAGAAATTCGTCACATTCTTAACAATAATAATAATCATATATTTTTTAAGAAGTATAGTTTGACACTTAAATTTGGCTTAAATATTAAAAATATGATTTTAATTCTATCAATTTATTCATTATTGTAATTTTTCCTTGTCATTTTAAAAATGCTAATACATCATTATTTTATTCCATAAATTGGATATTATTGAAAATGCATCTGATTAATTGATTATTATAAATTATTATATTGAGCTAACGGAATACATGCGTAATAATGCAAATCGTGTGATTGTACGTAAAAAGCATACATCACAATTTTTATTTTTTTATCATATTAATTTCTGTTAATTTTATTTTAATCTTTAAACTGTCTTTGTACCTATTTATACTTTATTTTTATTTTTATTGTATCTCAGATTAACAAATTGAAAAATAATGTTTTACATATATTTATATCGATTTTATTAGTACTGCATCATCATATATAAGAGGTTTTTCACAGTATTGAGATGAGCCATTTAACCATATTTTATATAATGTATTTATACTATATTTATAATTGTAATTAACTCTTGGCCTATGTAAAAAATTAATATTACAAATAAAATTAAAATTTTTTTTATTAAAATGCAATTCGAGATATTTCTTAATCTTCTTATTTTGATAAGGTTTACATTTTTATTAGGTGTGTTCATTATATATCACATGAAATAAACGCAATACTTTTAATGAACATTTTCATTTAATATATTTGTATTGTGCATGTATAGTGGTTATATACATCTATAAATTTGGAGCTATTAGTTTCATTGGAACCATATACAAACAATGTATACACAAATATTACCAATTAATTTCATATAATATAGGTATTATTATAATTTAGTTCTATTAGTTATTGTTATTAGATTGAACTTTTTAGTTTGTGTAAAAGTGCAATAACAGAAACTAATAAAAATATTAAAAATATACTCTAATTTCAATAATTTTTAGTTGATATTTCATCTGAAAGTTAGTTATAGATCTTTATAAACTATTATAAATTGTAAGAAACACAATATTTTTTAAGTTGAACTAAAAACTTATAATACACACAGGGGAATTTTAATTATTAAATTTAATAAGCCAAGCATAGAAAGGTTGAGCCTATAAATTTCTTATTTGTTATAAATTCATCACATTTGTCAAGGAAATAAAAAATACTACAAAAGAACTTTAGAGGTTTTAATAAAATTATTATAAAATTTACTAAAATATAAGTATTATACATGAATAGTACAAACACAAGCATTTTAAATACTGTAAAACAGGGTGAATAGAAACACTTTTCAACTTAAATTATAATATAATTCTTAAATATACTTCTATATATTATTTTCTTTTTACATTATAATTAAGTTCCAAGTGAACTGACTTAATTGGACTATTTGAATGATAGACTAAAATTGTTAGTTTTAAAAATATTATTAGAATATAATACATGGTAAAAGTTATAAATGTTACATAATAAAAACATGTTATAACTTGGTTTAAATGGTTCAAATGTCTGTTAATATGATCAATCAGATTTTTTTTGTATTAAACTAAAATAACTACTTCTAGAAGAAAGTATTATAAACTAAATAGGTACTTATATTAAACATGTTTAGAACTCTAACAATGATCACTATTATAATAATAGTCGAATAGGAACAAATGGACGTAACCGTTTGGACGTGGGGACAAATGGAAATATATAGGTATATATATTTATAAGTTATAAAACCATTGATATTTTATGTTCATAATATAACTAATTGCATCATATCATAATATCAAACCTTATCGAATTTTATCGTTTTGACAATAGGTACCTTTTATATCAATATATATATATATATATATATATATAACTTATTAGTTTTTACAACTTGTAATAATTATCACACTTCATCGAAACATCGTGATACACTAGACATTACAGTACACATCTATAACCGTGTTAGTCGTGTATAGAGATGGAACTTATCGTTCATTAAGGTGAACTAATTCAGTCGCTCATCGTTCACTAAATTGAACTTGTTCATCGTTCATATACTTGACGATTCGTTCGTAAGAATACGTACTCCGTATCAAAGAATTGTTCATGAACGATTAAGGTACTAGTATAAAAAGTACAAAGTGAACGGTGAACGGTGAACGAGTCGTTCATCAAAAGTGAACTAGTACAAAACCGGTCACTTGGGTGAATAGTTAAATTTAACTAGTTCATTCATGAACGACACATCTCTAGTCGTGTACAAATTGCATTCAAGTGTACATGTAAGATGTCATTAGTTAATTCAAATCGCCATGATGAAATTTTTGAATGAATATTTTTGACATTAAAATTTACATATTATAATAAATATAAATAACTTATTTATTTTATTCACTGATTTATATATTTATATATATATTTTTTTTTACGTCCATTTGTCCCCACGTCCAAACGGCTACGTCCATTTGTCCTAGATTGAATAATAGTACACAACTAAGGAAAGCAGAAACTATTTAATGATATAGAAAACACATTTTCTTTTAAAAGAAATCAAGATATTAATATATTTATACAATATAAGCATAATAAACAATTTATATTACAATTTATTATAAAAAAATATATATTATATTAGCGGTTCCCAAACTGTGAGGCATGATCTTTTGGAAAGCGCAAGCAATTATTAAAGGAAGTGCAAGGCAAATATTTATATTGTAAATTACGCTAATATATATTTATTATTTGATCAACAATAATTTGCTTATATTAAAATAATAAAAAAATATTTTATTGGGTGGCGTAATTAATTTTTTTTCGTTTCTGGGATGGGTGACCCAAAAAAGTTAACCGCTATATTATATGATTGATGGCGATATTTAAAAATTTATATTGATATTGTGAGGTAAAATCATCAATTTCTGATAATTTATTAGAATTGCCACATATTTTAGTTGCATTTTCAGATAATACTACCAGTTATAACCAAATATCAGGATATCTCAAACACTGTTTTAAAAGAACTGTGTTTAAATTTAAATTTTTAACTGCAAAAATATTGATAAAAATAAATAAAAATGAATCCAGAACATTTATAAGTAATTATAACTATCCAATTTTGAATTTCATAAATAAAAATAAGCTTATTGTAATAAAATATATTTTTCTAAGAGGAAATTAATAATTATATGAATTTAAAATATAACATATTAGGTACTTAATTAGGAATAACCAAAAACTATATATAATTATTTCTAAATTAAATAAGTCTCAAATTGCTTACTAATATTTATTATAATGCTATAAATATGTAGAGACCGAGTAAATTTTAGGGGAAAAATAGTATTTAGTACACTTTTAAACAAGTAAAAACTCTTTAAAAAACAGTTCAACATATTTTAGTTAAACATTTAATAAATAACTATGAATCTACATTTACCAGATTGATTTATCTATTAATTTTAATATATTAATTAAAATATTTTTATATTATTTGAAATATGAGCAAAATAATGAACGCTGAAAAAACCTTTGAAATTTGAAATACACATCAATAAGTAAATTTCAATATTCACAAGTAAAATTCTATGTTCAGTGCTATTTTAGTCAATCTTTCGAAATGTGCTGACTAGTTTGGTAGCTGACAACATTTGTTACACATATATCATAGTCAAGATTAAATTGTCAATCAATACTAAAGTCAACAAAAAAAAGTTTAATCATTTAAAACGTACATAGAACGTAATACTAGAATCATTCTATTCTTAAATTTAATTAATTATTAAGGTTATGCCTCCTATACAATATAAATAAACTTCTTAGGATAATATTATAAATTATATGCTATTTGGTAAAAGTCTAAATTTTAGACTTCAATAAATTTAAAAGTGTATTTTTTACATTTCATAAATTGAACTTAGGATTGATTAGTAATTAAGGTTTAACATAAAATGTATTGTACTAGATAATAGTTTTTATTATTAGCTTAGAAAAACTTTTAAATAGACAATTAAATGTGATGTAAGAGTCAAAACCTTAAAGTAACTTAGAAAAAGGTTAGCAGTTAGTCGGAATGAAGTTGTAAATCAATCTTCAGGTTAAAAAATCATAAATAAATAATTTATTTTTAACTACTAACATTATTTAATATTTAATTTTGTTCCACAGTGATATAATCACAACCAACATAATATTCACTTTTAAATATTATAAAAAGATTAAAACGAGTGCAAACAATAATGATGGACAGTTAGTAATTACAATTATACAGGGATGTAATAGGTGCCTACATAATTGGTACCTAACTTTTTAATCTTTTCTTAGTATATATATTAGACTTGTTAAAATTACATATTTTACTGTCATTAAAGATCATATATATAATTTCATAAACTCTATACTATATACTTATTTATTACTAAATTCAATTCAAGAATCAATTTTATGTTTGTTAAGTTAATTATAATTTTATTAATAGAAATATCTTCATTTTCAATCCAAATATAATATTTTATAGGTTACTATAATTATGCAGGCTCATTTATTTATTAGCTCTTTTGATCAAATAATTTTTTTTGATTCATCTTACAATTATATCAACTAATATAATTGTTATACGGATTTAACGAAAATATTGGTAAATTCTATTTGGTCTATTATTGGTAACCTTATATTTATACAAATAAAATTAAATATTATACAAAACTTGAAGTTATACAAATTTTACTTTAAAATTGTCAAGCAATTTCAATATAACATAGGAAAATAAAAATTGATCATCCTTGATTATATTACATATTCTATACTAAATATTACAATTTAATTTAGAATCAATACATAAATTAATTTTGATCAATCACATTGAGCAGTAAAAATTGAATAGGTTTTAAAGACTTTAAACATTGTTTTTACACTCCATTGCTAACTCATAAGTAAACGTTGCGAGCCTAACAAATGCAAGTGAAATTATACTATTGATTAAAATGTAATCAGTATAATATTTAATATATTATAGTACCAATAATCTATGGTTACACATACGTGATGTATCCAAACCGGCAAACTGATCGACTTCGTCGAAATCTTCATCAACAACCTGGGAATCCAGGAGAGCCCGTTCCTCTTCCACGTCCAGAATCACAGAAGAATCATCATCTTTGAAAACCTTATAGTTGTTGGGTTTTACGAATTTGTCATCGTCGTTGCTGTAGCGCCTTTGGACTATTGTGTTCGTGGTCGAGCAAATCGGGGGTGAACGTAACACTCGTTTGGAGATTCGGTTGGCCGCTAAATGGCGGGAGAAACTCTGAGCGATTTTCAGCGACAACATTTTACTGTAATATAATGCATATGGAGATCGGTTTCTGCTCACTTTAAGACAATGTGGAAGGGAAAAAAGTATAGAAAAATATCGAACTTATCGTACATATTACTGTTTCGCTATTGACGAAGCTTTCCGTCCGTGCACCGGCACCTATCAACAGTTCCGAAGCCTGTGATAGCATACCCGTGATAGCACTATCAAATGGTCGGCCGGCGAATCTCATTCGATTAGATTTGATAATAATGTTACTGCTGTTGTTATCAATTTGCCATCGGCATTTTCACACCCCGGATAAATATAAATTTATCAGACTCGCGCTACAATATTTCTACCGCAACTGCTGGCGTTCGGTATTAAGTAATAAATCTATCTCTGCCGCGATAAATTAACTCAAATTGTACCGCGCACTCCGCAGTCAATTAATTTACCAAAAATGTTTTGTGTCGGCCTCGGTACACGTATACCGAAATATCGCGTATACATTTTTTTTTTTGCCTAATGCGTGCGCGTTATATGTTTTCGAATGAAATTTTAAGCATGTGACCCTCGATGTTCCTTTATTCATAATCTTTATTAGTAATATTAGATATAGACTGGAAAGTATTAATATTGTAGGATAATTAACCGCCCAGCAAATAATAACAATCGCTGAGAGGTCTCCCGCATTTGATTTGCATTTTATTCAGTCCATATTTGATACATTGTTCTCAAAATGACGCTCGACGCTTTGTCATTAAAATACATTCAGATATTTTTCGTTGTCATTATTTATTGGTAAGTGAAACACGATCAATTTCATTATTATTTATAAATATTAATTGAAAAAAAAAACATTTTATCCAAAATATAATATTATGAGAAACAATAGTTTAGTGTACACATCAATGTTTAATTCATGATACACAATTATTGATTTTTTTATTAAATTATTAATTTACTGAAAAATTATAAAGTATTTTTTTTTTTCATTGAATTTACATTTATGATTTTTATTTGTTATAGGATAATTTCCATTTTAACAGTATTTGTGAACAAGACTTTATTGAGTGTTGACCAGTTGGATGTGGATGCTCCTATATTTATTGTATGGTTTCAATGTTTAGTTTCAGCCATAATCTGTTTTTCCTTGAGTCGTTTGTCCAAGATGTTTCCAAATGCTATACAGTTTCCTAGTGGAAATCCTTTCCACACATTTACTATTAAAAAAGTAAGTAATTTTGACAATTTTGAATGAAAAAGTTCCTAAACAGTTACCTATACTTTTTAATATAAGAAATTTCAATTTTATTATTAACAGGTTTGATAATGTTATTAGACCAAGTAACCAAGTAACTTATTCAACTTATTTTTATAATTTAGCAATAATAATTAATGTTAATCTTGAGAACTATTTAGGTACATAATATTTCTACTTTTTTTCTACTCTTATAACCAATTAAATTATATTTAATTTAAAAATATTTATTATAATTATTTTATGAACCTACTTCAAAATTATATTAATATTTCTATAAACAAAATTTTCTTTAATTTTCTTCCAGGTTTAATGTCACGTGAATCATGAAACTAATGTGAATTATTTTTATTTTAGGTGTTGCCGTTATCAGTATTATATATATTAATGATATCTACAAATAACTATTGTTTAAAATTTGTTGATGTTACATTTTATTATGTTGGACGATCACTCACTACAGTATTCAATGTTATACTTTCTTACATAATATTAGGTAAATATTTAATATTAATCACAATTTCTACAACAATTCAAACTAATTAGCCTCTGTATAGTATAGAACAGCAGCGGTTCCCAAAGTGTATTCCATGGAATCTAAGGGTCCTGTGAAACAGTTCAACAATCCCATAAAAAATATGAAAATATTTAGAAATATTGTCTATATTATTTCATAAAAAAAAAAAAAAAAAAAATGCCTATGCTATGTTTACATGCCGTCACTATACAATGATAGGAAAGTATGCAGAATAAAATGCCATGTTATTTTGAGCTATAGAAATCTGTCGATACTAACAATAGTGAATTAAAGGTACCAGTGTAACGTGCAATCTACCGTTTACATGTGTTCTACCTGTGATCTAACCATTACTATCCAGTTCTTTATCGGTAATTTATCATTAACGACGCAAACGATATATTTCGTCTCCGATAGCTGATAACAATTTAGTATACTTTCCAATTTTGACGACGCATAAGTTGACGTAGTCCGTGTCCATCATTATAATTGCAGTCTATAATCGTAATTTACATGTGCTACATTCATAAATAGCGACTAACTTTTATTTTTATATTATTATTATTATTATTTTATGTGGATGTGATTCTGAAATTGTGATTTTTGAAATGTGTGTGAGCTCACCTTCTCATGGTGTATTTTGGGTAATGCCAAGAGGTTCACAAATCGCGTTAACCAAAAACAGGCTGGTAGATCACACGCTACACCAGAAATGAGCTGGTAGATTGTACGCTTCACTGGCACCGAATTAAAAAATGTGTGCAGGTACCCTGAAATTGGATTAGTTTTAGCACCTGGGTTTCATAAATGCATACTATTTTCCAAGAGTATAGTTGTTATAAATGTTTGGAAACAGTGGAATACATAATTTTAGTGTGTTCTGTATGAGTATATTTAAAATAAAGAGTTAATTTGTTATAATTAATATAATGTTTTTATATTTGTATTTAAAAAGGATGTAATTCAGTCGATTTTATAGTATTCTAAAATTTATAACAAAAAATAAAAATAAAAAATGTTTTTTTTTTTTTAATTTTTAGGGCAAACTACTTCAACTAGCTGTCTTCTTTGTTGCATGGCTGTAGTTTGTGGATTTTTTTTGGGTGTAGATCAAGAAAATATATTAGGTATTATAAAATTATTATTAAACTGATCTAACATACAATATACCTCATTATAATTTTAACTGATAGTTTTAAAATTTGATTAAACTATTTAGCTTATTGATATGCTATTAAATGTTAAGTTAAAATATGAATGATTGAGTACTAATATTAGAGTACTAACTCATAAATCAAATATTTTTTAAACTAACTATTTTATTTTGGTAAATTAATGTTAATTATTAACATATTATTTCAATATAAATAAATAAATATATATATAAGTTTATATAAACTATATGTAAAAAATATACTTCCTCTAATGATAAATTTAATATTTTCGGATTATTCAATTTTGTGAGTTTACTTTATTTTTGTAATACAAGAAATAGTAGATTATATTTATTACCCACGAAGAGTAAGTTATAATCTTTGTTTTATTTAAGCTGTTAAAACATTTACTATTTTCGAGTGGACATATTTGTACTACAATTATCACTTATATTTATTGATAGCTAGATGAGTATATTTATTTTAATACTAACATGAAACAAAATTAAACATTTAATAAAATGTTTATTAATTTATATATTAATATATATTATACTTTTTATTTTTTACAGGTTCATTTTCTTTGATTGGAACATTATTTGGCGTCTTCAGTTCATTTTCTTTAGCTTATTATTCAATACAAATAAAAAAAGTTTTGCCTGAAGTAAATAATCAAATTTGGTTACTTTCATACTTCAATAATGTATATGCTACAATTTTATTTATACCCCTTTTAACACTTGAGGCCAAAGAATTAAGCAATTATAATAAACTGCTTGAATATAAATTTATATTACTTATGATACTTGGTGGTATCTGTGGATTATCAATTGGTTATGTAACAGTTCTTCAAGTGCAAGTAGGTTGAATGTATAAAAATTTAATTAGCTAGAAAATACTTGTTTTTTTTTAAAAAAAACATTAATTATTTGGCACTAATAAATATAATATTTTAAATAAAATATCTTTATAATCTTACCCTCAGTTAATAAGTAAAATTAGATAAAAAAGTAAAAATTTATATACTCAGCTTAAAATCAACAAAGTTTTATGTTATTAAATAATTAAATTTTTTTTTTTAAACTTTGTTATTTCGTATAATTTTAATTATAAAAAAGAAATATACAAGTATACTTTGTAATGTATGAACCAATAAATTTAAGGCAAAGTTTTCTTACAATTATCATCTATACTATATTATTGAATTATTAATATGTATATATATATACATATAATCATCATAATTATAAATAAGAGCTAATAAATGCATTTAAATCTTATCAAGGTATTTGTATTAAAATGCTATTGTTTTTTAGATTTTAATAGCTTTTTGACAGTAAGATGATCCTTTATGATAAATGTAGATATTTTAATAATTAAGTAATATAATAAAAATTATTTTATTGGTTTATTATTATTATTGTAGTATTTAAAAGACCATAAATTGTATTTAATTTTTTAATTATTATTTTAAGATGTTTTAACTTGTTTAAAAAATAAAAAAATATATATAACCTATTTTGTTACGAGTATCAATTTAAAATATGAATTAAAACTTATTAGTAAAGTCACGAACAGCTATTGTTTGTAATATTTTTATATAATACAAATAAACCTTTTACATTGATATTTTCAATGATATTAAAATTTATATACATTCATGATTAGAAATTTTAGTTAAGTACATTTTTAAACAAAACATGTAAAACTGACTACAAAATTTAGTTAATATAACCCTAAATATATTGTAATAAAAAATATGTTTAATTTTATAATTATATAATTATTAATATATTAAATGTATGTTATTCATAACAGTTTTATTAACACCATTGTTAAATTTTTATTTTTATTGCAGGTTACATCTCCTTTAACTCACAATATTTCTGGTACAGCCAAATCATGTTTTCAAACAATATTAGCTTCATTTTGGTACAATCAGTGGAAATCTACTACGTGGTGGTTCTCCAATGTTATTGTTCTGGGAGGAAGTGCTGCGTATACATATGTGAAAAACAGAGAAATGGATAAAAAATACCGACAAACAACCTACAGCCGTTGTTAATTTTTCCAATTTAATTAATTTTTATAATATTTGGAAACTTTGAATTTTTACCAGTATTTATATTTATTTTTTTTAACATATTTTTGTTTTTATTTTATTAATGCATTATACGAGTAATTACTTAAACTATCCAACTACTTTTTTTTTATCTTAAAATGTTGACATTTTGCACCTGATTGAATTTCTAATAAGTTAAAAAATTACTACTTTTACTCAATTTTATGTTTGTATTCATACTAGGATGTTAAATTCTTAAGCTGTTTGTGTTTTATAATTATAAAAAAATCAAATGGAAACTAAAATAAACAAAAAAAAATGAGTTTATAGTATTATATAGTTTTCTTAATATCACATTAAATCTAAAACTAAACCATACAATTAAAATTATCAAATTTGTTTGCTTTTAACTCTAAAATATTAATTTATATTTATTTTAATGAGTGTAGTCCTATAACAAATGTTGCAGCCCAAATTTTGTTATTATAAGATTTTCGTTTTGCTCAAACTAGTTAAAATAAATTTAAAATAAAGTTGGCAATTTTTTATAAATATTGTATAAATTTGATTTTTTAATAATATACTTTTATAAATATTGTGAAGAATTTAAGTAAATTTGATTTTTAATAATATATTTTTATAATTATTGTAGACTAAATTTTAAATTTTACCATTTTTGTGAACTCAAAAGCAATTTTTTTGGAGAATAAATAGTATCACCTCCTTGTAGTGTTCTCCGGATAACGCTAAACAATACTCAAATATTACAATACCATATAATTTAAAATAAAAGTATATTACAATATTATATAATTTAAAATAATCATTGTCTACTTAATTTTAAATTTATCTATATACTAGTCTGGGCAAAACGGGTCCTGCCCATTTTAATTAATATAAATGCAATTTGAATAATTTTTTGAGTAATCAAAAAAATACACTTTAACTTTTTGTAACCAAATGACATTTTTTACTTATGAATGCTTATTTATGTTCATAAATAATTTTTAGTACTTCCATTCAAAAATATAATTATTTTTGTGAATATTTAAATAGAATAATTTTGCTCTATATAATTTTAAAAACCTACTAGCTTAATACAATATAATTAATACATGTCATTATAAAATATATAAATAATTTTGTGGTTTAGATAATATTTAGATAAATTTGTAGCAGGGAACTATTAGAAAAATACTAGAGAATAGTCATGTTGTCTTTATTAAATTTTAGACTATAAAAAAAAAATTAAAATAAAAAAACTACGATCAAATACATATAAATATCAATTATATTATATGAGGTCAATTAAGAATAAATAGAGTAATATAAAATATGTTGTTCATATTAATTTTCCTATATAATTGTACAATGCTTATAACATTTAAAAATTATTAACAAGTTTTTCAATATATAAAGTTAAAAATCATAATTTTGTCAAACTTACTGATTATCTGTATTTCAAAATGAATAAATCCTGTTTACTATTTAAAGAGAAAATATAATTTATTAGGAAGTCATTGAAAAGTTGATTTTGTTAAGATTGTAATAATGTTACTTCGATTTTCATGTATTATTATGGTCATATATAAACAAAAGATAAAATAAACTAATAATGTAATGTTAAATAATACATAAATGTGCCATATATTTGTATAATGTATTTGTATAATCAACACTTTACTACGAGTTGATAACTTGACCTATTTTCGATAAATTTACGAGTTTTTAAAGAGTTTATTTTGAATAATTTTAAGGGAATATCACAATATTTACATAAAAAAAATAATTGTTGGTAGTTTTTTATATTTTTGATAACCACACATTTTAACGTAGAATAATTTTCTGAAAATCAAATACAAAACTAGTTGTAAATTGAAGAAATTAGATATAAATTCAACATTGCATTTGTAATTTATGTTGGTAAAAAGTTAGTACACCAATCTCAATAAAAATCAAACATTGTCAATAATGTTATATAATATTGTGATGATTTATCAAATTAATTCAAAATTGTCAAATAAAATATTTTTATTTCTTCACATATTCATGTACATGTTTATAATATCTATCAGTTCTGCTAAAGTTGTATTGAGCATCTTAATAAATATAATATAATATAATAACTAAACTATCCACTAAACTACTGTAGTATAATCATTAATCGATAATCTAAGCATATCGTTATCGTTATACAAAAAGTGACAATGTGCATTTTTTTAAATGAAGCTTCAAACAAAATAAATTGAAAAAAATTACAGAATATATTACTAAAACATATTATCACAATTTAAACGATAACAAGTTTAGTAGAAATGAATATAAATTGTAATTTTCAAAGTGTTTATAAGTTTTTAAAAGTATTTAAAACTAAAATTGATATTACTGAAAACTATGAAAATGCACTTGGTCAGTTTTTGTATTACGACGATGATATCTCAATAAATATCATTAATAGGTGTCTAATAATAACATTTAATAATATTATACCACGCAGGGAGTATAAATATTATATTTGTATGTGCATTCTATAGAGATGAGTGTAATTACATAGGTAATTTTGTAAAATAAATTATAAATAAATAAATAATTATCAGTAAGCATACAATCTAATCCATGTCGAAAATTTCTTTGACGCTGGTAACGGTTTTATTATTCGGTCTCCTCAATTTCGCCACCAGTTTAATTGAATCGTCAGTATTTTTACACGAGATGAAATGGCACTGTTCTTTCCTTGTCGCAGCTCTTCGTATCTGAGCCAGTTTTTTTGCGACGGTTGGAGGTAAAATTATTTCCATCATTCTGTAATCAAAATAGAAAATCAATTATTCACTGTGCAGTAAGAATATGACATTTTAACGTCCGTTTTTCATTTGTTTTTGATTTGATCGAGTTATATGATTTAAAATGTTGTAAACCGTTTTTGATATTATGAGTCTTGTAAAATATTTGAATAAAAATATTCAAATATTTTTATAGTATTTAGAACACTTTTTAAATAATTTTTGATTTAAGATTTATGTATTTTGACGTACCTATTTGTATTTGAAAATAAAATATTTTTGTTTAAATATTTTATCGATTTTGTCTCATTAAATTATGTAATAGTATATATTTTAATCAGTATTCAAAAGTAAAATCATTGTAATCTAATATTTTACATAGCCTCCTAAAATAAATGCGAAATCGAACTATGACTTATTATTTTCGTTGAGGCCTATTTTAGTATATTCTGACGTAGATTATTGAAAACTTCATATAAATTATTACGGAAACGAATTTTATTTACACTATTGTGTGCATGTCATATAGATAAATCAAATGAACATGTTTGGTATACCTAAATATCTTTAACTATTAATAATTTTTTTATAACATTATTATTTATTGAATAAACTTGATTTATATAATACAATCATGTTATATTAATTTTTCATTATGGCACACAAAATATGAAATATTATATTCTTTAATATATATGAAATACAATAATGTCTAGCTCGTAAGTTATTGGTTAGCGCTACAGCAGGTTTTATCTATAAGCTTTAGTAGTAACTATCTGGTGTATGTTTAATATATATATATATATATATATTGTATATAGTATGTAATATACAGTTTGAATGAGTCTGTGATCTCAATGGTCGAATTTAAAGTTTTAATATAAAAGAATAGGTATTTATTATAAAAGTAACAAAAAGTATATTTATAAAATTATTTGTATTTGAATACTTTCCAACTATTTATTTTTGTTCTTAAATATTTATTAACAAAAGTACTTGAAATACTAATTAAATTCACTTCAAGTTGATGTATTTATATCTCTATTTAAATATAAATGAATAATATCTTTTATTAAGATTGGGTATTATATCAAAACATGTGAATGAAAAAATGATCGGTCTATGGAAATTAATTAAAATAATAGGTTACAAAGTAATATTTATAAAAAATATCGTCTGTATATCTAAGCATTAGTTTTGTTAGCGGCAAAGCACAATATATATGTACATTATATGGCTTACCTACACAATGATCTAGCTATAATTCACTTATTATAACTAACTATAGTTTATACCACCATTTGGTTTAATTTTATTATGTTTTATGGAACCGGAACTTGTTTTCAAAAGTGATTCAAAGTTTTTTAAAACCATTAGAGATTTACTTTAATTTTATTTGATTTCATAAAATGGTAGATGGTAGTAATAAATAATTTGACATGTACTATTATACTGTTAAATGAGTTTACTTATAAAAATATTTATTAGTGAGTGGTATTATTTATGTAAAATCTAATGATCTATTTTCACAAGAGAGGGGATTACATTTTTCGAAATTTTACTGTTTTAAATACTTGATTTAAGTATTTTAGGTATTATAAAAAAAAAAACCCATAAAAGACGAAACATAAAAACTATTTTACATTTAACAAAGTTATTACCTCTAATATTCTAAAATAATATTGTAAATATAGAAAAACAAAAAATATACACACGGGTGAATCCGGATAATTTCGCAAATTAATTTATATCGATAATAACTAGAGCGCGGATTTTATTGCCATAAAAAATAATTTAAAATGCCTTAGAAAAAATCCAATTATGACTTAAAAAATGTAATTAATGACGTAAAAAATGTGAAAAATGCAATAAAATATTTTTAATTTATTTTATCAATACTTTCCAGATATTTCTTGATTCTATGTTATTTGTATTTTTATGGTCACGTTGAACTGAAAATTTTTATCCAGTAAATAATAAATAGTATTAGGTATAAACAGTCAAAATTTAAAAAAAAACATTTTTTTTTTTTTTTTTAACAAAATTCAATATTTTTACCTTGTGATAGTATGTGTGCATTGCACATAAATAATATTGTTATATATTATGTATACAATATATTATATTGATTGATGTGTTAAAATGTCAATGTTTTCCAGTTACCAGCTACTAGGCGGGATTATTAATAATGTGGCTAAGCCCACTATGTCGCTGTATACACGTAGTCTGTATTATTGTCATTGTCATCGACTATTATACCATAGTTTAATGACGTAACGATAACATAAAACGATAAAGAGAAGTTGTATATAATTTGATTAAAGGAAAGTATTGAATACTAGACATTTTTTTAATTCTTTCCAAAAATGTTAAATTTTCAAAAAATATAAAAATATTTAAAAGTAGTGAAAACACCAAAAATGCATTAAAGAAGTAAATATGACAAAAAATGCGAAAAATTACAAAATAAAAATTGAATTATATGAATTTACACTAATTGAAACATATGGTATTTTGCCAAACTGAGCAAAGCATAAGGCTATTCGCTGACATGCAATTTTCAGTTGTGCGATAGTTGCGCAACAGTTTCATCATACCGCACTCACAAATGTAACTGTACTCTCGTGTCACATTATGATACATAGGATACATAGGATGTAATCGCGCAATCAAACGATTTGTGACAAAACACAAACTAATTAGTTGGTCAAACTGATCAGTTGCACGTGAGCTCATCGTCATTTAACGCTGTGAAATTCACTAATGCGATTAAACTGTTGCGCAACTGAAAATTTCATGTCAGCGACTAGCCTAAGGATTTAGAAAAAAAATGCATTTTACATTGAAATCTGCGCCCTGATAATGGTTATAATAAGCATTTTTGGTTTTCATCAGAGTAATTTATACAACACAAATACAATTTTGTAACAAAGTTTTCATGTTTTTTAATAGAATTTAATAGTTCTATCTAAGCTGCTGCGGAAAAAATACGTGTACGTTTTATAACTATAATTATTTTATGTTTCTATGCATTTATTTTGATAATATAGATATGTTGATTAATGAATAGGTTGTATGTGGTAGTGGAATAGGTAACCTAACCTACAACACATACCGTATACATTGTTTTGTATTTTGTTGGTTACATTTAACTTTTTTTCTTTTGTGTTTATAAAACGCTTCTAAAATTGAATTTAAAAACAATAAGAGCCAATTAAAATATGTACCTAATTGGTTTGCTTCCAACTTGCATGGATCGCATGGCTCTTCCAACTTCGCAGGCTATTCTCTCACTACAGTCTTTTCCATCGATCGATTCGGTGACGAGTTTAGTTAGTGAGGCCAACTCTTCGGGAGCTCGTTTTAGGACAGCTTTCGAACTCAGTGAGGATATGGGAAGTCTTGGTATAAACATCATAGCGCTGAGGAAGACCACGGCAACACCTACGAAACCGGCCATAGCCACGAACAATGGTTCAACTTTTGACTTGGTAACTTGATTTTCTGGTTTATTTATTTCCATCATGTCCGTCGCTGAATTTTGACTATTTTGCTGATTACTTATGTCCTGCTGATTGTTGGCGTTCTGCAACTGTTTAATAGCATTGTTGTCCAATGGATAAAAGAAATAGTTGTAACCACCAATCGTTCCATCTGGTGGCTTCATAGGATCACCTGTGCAACAACAATAGTTATTTATTTAGCACAAAAACATTAATAATATTACAATTACGATTGAATAGAACTTAATTAATTGTATATAAATATGTAAATATATGTTTATATATATATACATATATAATGTTAATATCTACTTCCTGTAAGCTATACATGTGTTGGGAGAAGAGAGTCTAATTATTTATAGTATTTAATTGACATATTCATATTATAAATACAAAATACAAATATAAAATATTAATTTAATCTTAATCCAGACGATTTGTAAAATTTGTAAGATTTTGATTGTTTTTGATGAGATCTACGTTTTTAAAAATAACTATTTTTTAATTATATAGGTAGTTGCTTATCAATAATAAAATACGAAAAAAATTAAATAAATATTTATGTATGTAGTATTTCTAAAATCATCTTTGTTTAAAAAAAATAAAAGATAGATGAAATTTATTTTTCGATTATGCTATATTTATATGTTTCTTACGAGTTTTAAAAACTGTTAACTAATAGTAACTAATAAAGTTAATAGTTAACTAATAAAGTTTAACTAATAAATTATTAAAGTATTTTAATGGCATAAAAATAGTCGAAACTATTAACTAAAAAATGTATCCAGTGTAAACAAAAGATTTTACCGAGTTAAAATCGTATGTGACCTGAAACATCGGAGTAAAAATTTTTTTATTGTAATTACTATGTACATACAAATTTTAATAATCTGTTAGGTATATTTTATGTTTTTAAAATATTTTACAAATTTAATTTATATATTTTTTTTTTTTTTAAACGTGTTACAACGTTTATTTTAATATTTTAATCGATATAAGCGATTAAAAAAATTGGATTATTTTGTAATAATTTTAGTGGCCAAGAAAAGCATTTTTCAATAAAATTACTTACATACTTACATTAAAATAAATAATTAATAATAATTATTTTTCAATTTTAAAATCTTAACCGCAGACAAACAAATTTTCAAAATCTATTTTCAGTAGGTACCTACATACATTTTCTAATTTCCAACATAAAACAGCGTGCTTTATGATTATATTTTGGATTCAACTTACTTGACGAAATAGAGTTTACTAGATTCTGCGTTTGTGGGTTATTCGGTATTGAAATAAACTGTTGTGGAGCTTGTTGATTAAGTATCTTGTTCTGTGATTCAGCAAATTCAGGGTTCAAAAATTGGGAAAACAATGTTTCAGCCTGATTTTTGTTCGCGTTCACCTGGTGTAAACAATGATTACTACATAAGTACAAGTCAAATACATTTGACGTGACAACCTATGATTCGATTATAAACGATCACTTACATTCGGTCCGTTGTAATTTAATGGTTGTTTCGACAGTATCTTTATTTCGTTGGATTGGTCCGAGTACGGTGTATCGTCGGGTATGTATTCCTCGACGTCAATCCGATCGTTAAGGTTCTTGCGATTAACGATATGTGGTTTGCGTAAGTTACCCATGACATTTTTCAAAAATTCAGCACCCGATTGCGTGTTATCCGATTTTACACCGTCGCTAATCGCAATAGAACACAGCAGTAATTGTACCGCAATTAGATTTAATATCACAATATTTAGTATCCGGACACTTATACTACATCTATAAAAAAAAAAAAAAACTAATGTAATTCATTAAATTAGTATAATACAAGCTGTTGATTTTAAACGTATATTATTACTACTATATTACCGTTAACTAATTAACAGTATAACATGTATTTTAACTGCAAAAATTCAGCTCCTTGTGTTGATAGGCGCAACTAGGGTAAAAAAATATGGGGGGCTATAGCCCTCTTACCAAAACTTAAGATAACCTGTAGATTACCCCAACTCTTATATACTATGATAAAATATTTTAGATTTGGAGCCAAGTTGATTTTACTATAATGTGTCTTTTTTTGTACGTGACACTATTATGAGTACTGTATGCAGTATTCCATGTGTAACATGGAATATTTATGGGGGGCTAAATCTTGGTCCGGGGGGCTAATCCCCTCTAGCCCCCCCCCCAGGTTGCGCCTATGCTTGTGTTGTACAACAAAAATGACTAGAGTAAATATTCTCGGAACTGGGACGGGTATGGCCGGTTTCCACCAAAAATGTATCTTTCCCTTTTCTGTCAAATGAAAACAATTAGTCTATTATCCGAATATTATTGGATGTATATATAAGTATTACAATTATTAATGAGCAAATTAATTAATTAATAACAAATTGTCAAATGTCCGCAATTATATTGGGCCGACTTGGTCACCTGTTATTTTATTTGGTTTTTATTAAAAATAGGTAAGGATATAAATAAATAAAATAAATGCGTATAAAACAAAACGATTTATAATTAATAATTTATAAATAATCTAAGTTTATGATGGCATAGCTAAATAAATGTGTAAAAAAGTAATGTAAGCTTATGACGGCTCGATAATACAAAATTAATGTCTATTACAGTTCGACTAACACAATGTTATATAAATTTACGTTTGACGAATTTCATATAAGTTTGAATTTATACAATAATAAAAAAGTGATATTTTTAATATTTCTTGTGATAAAAACAAATATAATAAAACAATTTCTAGATTTTTAATTAATTTAATTATTTAGTCTATTTAATAATAATTTATATTTAGTCTATTTAATAATTGTAATACATACAATCATCCAATAATATAAGTACAGTTCTAGACCAACTTATTTTAATTTAACAGAAAAGGGAAAGGTACACTTTTTATGGAAATGGGTAACTCCCACTGGGACAACTAAAATATAGGTAGGTATATCGCGCGATTTGGGGACATGATGGTCGTTCGTTTATCGGGTACATAAATCTGTGCTAAAATATAAAACGCATCGCGCTAATTTCACACGATTTGTTTCCGGCTCAAATACAATATTGCCAACATGTTATCTTATGATACAAATATTCAATCATAAAATATATAGACGGTTAGATTTCACTCAACATTAGGTGATCGTACAATCACCCAGTGGTGTGTTGAACTACTTTTACGTAGGGAGCGAATATTTTTATAAACCACCCACCCAACTGTTTTTTAAATACCCCTACATACCATAACCGCTCCTTTCATTCTCATTGTCACTATAAAAAACATATTGAATAACTAATTTGGATAATTATACTCTTTTTTAAACTAAATTAATATTTAAATCCTATAAAAATATAGTATACTCGTAAAATATTATTTTTCATGATGATTGTTACTTATTTAATAGTTTTGATCAATATTACTGATGTAATTGGTATATGTAAATACATTTAATACGCTTTATAATAATGAAAAGCTTCATTGTAATGCTAGTAATGCTACAGCTACATGCATACTTAATTTGCTCAAGTCCCATCATTTTTTAACATCAATTAAAACAAATTATTAGCTAAATAAAACTTTATTTTTTAAACACCTGATAATTATATATTATAGGTAATATATAAATATATAAATAACATATGTTTTGCGTAATACGTACTACACTATTACATATTATACAGTACCTATATATTATTATAATATTATATGTTATAATATTTAGATATTATGTAGTCTATTGATGTATGACAATTACAAAATAAAAATGTTATTCTTCGTATAAGTAAAAGAATATCCATCTAATTACTAACCACCCACCCCCAAATATTGATGGAGCGGCCGCTTCTTATAATCTATAAATGTCTAATAATATTATTTCGGAATTAAAAATAAATTTAATTGATTTGTAATTTTTATCAAATATTGTATGTTTTGTCATAAATTTTACATCAATATAACTTTTACTAAAAATGAATCAAAAATAAACCCCAAATTGAAAAAAATAAATACTAAAATCTAAAATCAAAACTAAAATTAAAAAAAAGAATACCGATGTTCAAAACTAAAATCAAAATCGGAAAAAATAAATACCGATATCTGAAACCGAAATTAGAAAATTTTTTTTCGTAACGTTAATTTATTAACGTTACGAAAATTAACGTTAAATTATCACTTTTCATACAAATATAAATATCATTATAAATAATTTATATTATCTTATTCCATTATATATTCATTAATAATTACTACAGGGGTAACTTGAAAATATTTTTATTTCTATTTCTTATTTCTTACTATTAGGTACTAATAATTATATTTTCAAAAATGTATATTAAATGAAAAATGTTATTTCATATCTAAATTAATTTGATTATAAATTAGCAATTCACGATTGACTTAAAAATTACATTGATCCTTAAAAACACAGTCATTTTAAAGGTCAATGTAATTTTCAAGTCAATCGTGTAATGGGGAATTTCATTATACTTACATTCAACAAATAATATTATGAAATTTCTTATGCCACAAAATATACCTAGGGTAAACCTTGGGTATAAAACTATTAATAATAATAAATAATATTATTCTACCTCAGGGAACGCATTTTTAGAATCAATTTTATTTATTACAAGTATTCACTGCGAAGGGATTCTAAATGTTTTTTTTAAATATTTCATGAATAACAAAATATTTAATTGAAAATATTAACTATACAGCAGTGTGTTATACAATTAGTATTCTAGAACTATGCCATATTCGTGTTATTTTTCATGTATAAGCGTGAGGTATTTTATTTTACTTACGTACGAAAATAAACTAATATTTATATGCTAATTGATCCTCAAAAGTCAATAAGTGTGACGTGTATTCGCCATCGAAGTTTTGAAAGTTCAATCGATGGTGTATCGTTTTGCGAAGCTATGTAGAGACGGCGGATTGGATTAGTTATTATACCCATTACTTCTTCTAACAAGTAGGTAGCGTGATTTCTCCTTTATACAAGGAACGATTCATCGGAAATAATAGACGTGTAGTCATTGAATTTCTGTTGGTATTGTTAACTGAAATAATTTTAGTTTCCAATTTCCTCGAGTACATTTCAAATCGATGATTCGAGTGTCGTCGTCATACTAAATGAAAACGCCCGATTGCTGATAATTTGAAAATGTATTCTAAAATTATTGATACCTTCCAGCTAATTTATAAATTTACTTTTGTTTACTACATATTTGATAAACAATAATACACTTTCTAGTCTTCTGCTCTCAATACTGCAGTGCAATTTTCATACATTAATTATTACTTAAGTATGTACTTATACTTAATTTTCTATGCATAATAGAATATAGCCACACTATAGTACTTATAAGAATATATTAATACAGTTTTATATTAAATTATGCTGTGTGTCATTATAAAATCATCGTCCGTAAACACAAACAGGTATAAAATATAGTACACAATTCTTTCTCTAAAATTATTCGCTAAAAATATTTATTATAACATTAATATTTATTTTCTCTTTTACAATAAGTCACACATAGATAATTCTAAAACTCAGTAAATCATTAAATATCATATTTGTATTATTTTACATTGTTACATTAAATAGATATTTTTGATTAAACCGATGGTTATGAAAATACAATTTATAATATACCAATATAAATTTACGTAAAATGATTTATTAATATCTAGTAAAATGTACAATAGATAGTCACAACTATAAAACTATTGTTAAACAAAATATTGATAGTAAAAGTAACTCAAAAATGCCAACATTTTCGTGCATTGACAAATCACTGGATATAATTATTTTTGATGTACAATAAAATACAAAATTATATTTATGAACAAACATAAAATACTTTGTGCAGTAACGTGATTAAAAATGACATTGCATCATTATTTTTAGCACAAAAATTATGGTAAATAATAGATTTTGAAAGTAGACGATTCAAAAAGATTGTGAACTGTTAAGTATCTTATGTAAATTATATCAGATAAAAAATTATAAAACTAAATCAAGAAACTATAAACGAAATATTCACAGATATCGAACGTGTCCTTCGATGAAAATAAATTTATTTAGATATTATTAAGTCGATTTGTACTTAACTTTGTAAATTTAATAGGTACACTGAAACCATTAAATAGTATAGTTAAATCTGTAAAGAAAGACGAAGAATATGACAAAACACTGGTCAATTTTAAATGTTAATACTTATAGATTATAACTTGCATGAGTTAAAATGCATTTTATAGAACTAGCGTATTAATAACCTAAATTTTCTTATAAAAGACGCAGGTAGTATTTTAAATAAAATCTAAACTTGTTTTTCCACCTACTTAAGTAAAAGTTAATGCTACATTGTATTTGTCATATATTTACTAGAAATATATAAAAACCACCATAGTATCTAAGTCTAAAAATCGTTAAATGATTATCAAAAAAAATATAAGAAAGTCAGTTGTTGGAAAGTGTGCCAGTGATTACTATTAATTAAGATTAAAAAAATAAAAACGTCTCTAAACCCTTTAGAAATATTTTCTTAGAACTGAAAAGTGGTTTTCGTTTTATTTAAGTGTAAGTTGACTATTTCTTTGATAATTTAATATTTTATAATGTCACAAGTAAACATATGTACTTAGCTAAAAGTGTATAAAGGTGATAGTTTAAATGTTAAAATTAACTTATATATATTTATTTTTTTTTTTTGAGGGTCAAAAAAACCTGTATATTCGAATCAGTTGAATTACTTTCTAATGA